AGCGCTCATGGTTCCAACCTCGGACGATGGCCTTGCAGATCCCTGTAGGACCCAGGCCTGGGTCCTACAGGGATTCGCTTCGTTTGAACCCTGACGGCCATTGGCCAAGGTTCAAACCTTGGCCGATGGCCTTGAAGATCCCTGTAGGACCCAGGCCTGGGTCCTACAGGGATATGACAATCGATTCTCGGGGCCGGGGTAAACGGGCCCCGCCCCCTCGGGAGGCTACATCCTTCCACCTACCTGCCCCTCCCTCCCTCCCAACGATTCCTATCCCCAACCACGACCTCGGTCTTCGATCGACCGAACTACTCAACACCACCACCCCGACGAACCGACCGAGACCCGTCGAGGCACCCGTGACCACCCCGCCCCCCTGAACCCACGAAAGCCGTAAAGCGCAAGGAAGACCACGCACGCCCGTTCAGGCGTTGATCCGATCCGATCCGGTCCGATCCGATCCGGTCTGATCCGATCCGAAAGCGAAAAAAAGGAACCCCAGGTAGTTTTCAGTGAGTAATTCAATTTATGAGGTCTGCAGCCCCCAAAGGGGCTCCTTTTTTGGATATCCAGCCTTGTGGAGGGGCCCAAGGTGGAGCCACTGCTACGCTGAGCCCGCAAAGAGGGGCCCTCTTTCTGCCTATCCAAGCTTTTGGGGAGGGGCCAACCTTCCCAAACATGGCTGGGTGGGACTGCAGCACAGAAGGGGGCCTATCAGGGGAGAGTGGGACTGTCAGGTGGCCCCCTTGCCCCAACTGAGTTTGGCGTGCAATTTTGGTACAAATTTGCCCCAAGATGAGAGAACCCTGGCTTATTCAATGTTTTTTTTTAAAACCAATAGGAGAATCCACCACCACAGTCGAGGAGCCAATTGGGGATTAATCTGGCAATCTACACGTTACCTGTAAGTCCTGGCTGTTTTTTAAACTTGAGGTTGCTCAGATCCAAGCATACATATGCATGACACCCCCCCCCCCCTCATCCAGAAAATGGCCACAGGTAGTGATCAATCACGTAAGATGTTCCTTAACTTTTACTTGAATTTTGCCACTGGACCACAATTCAATTGGCCCAAGCTGACACAAGTGGTACTCAATCCCTTCAATCCCTTAGGTTTGGACCTTTACATGAAGGCACAGGAGCTGGATAGTCACCCGGCATTGAAACCTAAAGAGCAGGCGCACGTGAAATCCCTCTTGGCACTTATCAAGGCAGATATTGAGAACTCTGATGACGAGGGTGACGATGAACGTAGAGCGGAATCCGATGCAACCCAGCTGGCGAACGACCTCCCTCCCTCGAGTGCTTCTCATGAGAGCACACTCAGGGTTACTAGTATGCCTGCTGTGCAGAGCCTGCATGGTGATGCTCCAATCTCTCATCCACAATTGGATTCGTCCTTACCAGCCCGTCCGAACTTTGACACCCCAACTCCCATGCACGAAGACCGTCAGTACGGCCTGTTTCGGTCGATGCCTGTGCCCAAGGTCCTCGCTCGCACACCTTGTCCATCGTTTGGCGAATTCTCCAGGGTTGATAAGACTCCTGTTGTTGACAACGGGTTCCCCAATGTACTCAATCCGGCCTATGCCAACATCCCGGACGATTCCCCTGGACGTAAAAACAGCAGAGGAGAGACATCTTATTTGACGGAAGAAGGAGATCGGTTTCTTGATTCTGTTATGGCCAGTGTCAACCAAAATCAAAATCTCTCTCCTGCGCAAGGAAACCCAGTCCCGCCGGTACCCACCCCCCCAGCTGATAAACAACCGCCTCCTGCTATACCTAAGCGGCAATCCGAGCGTCCAGTGGTGATTCGTGAGCGCCAGGAGCGGCGGCCAAAGTATTGATTTTCTACCGTCAGACTTGAAGGTATTGAAGACAATCATACTGGGAATTCGAGAAAGAACAGAAATAGGGTGGACGACTCTGAAGACGATGAAGCAGATGATCATGGACATTTGAAGAAATCTAGGGTGGAAGACGAGTCTGAAGAGGACCCTGATGCTGAAGGAATTCCGGACGATGGCGAGTGGTTCGATCCGACCCAGCAGAAGCAACAAGTAGCAGTGATTCTTGACCACGGAATTGGTCATCCAGCACCATTCCGAAGCGGCCCAACACAGGAGGCAACCCCGCGTTATCATCCCTTGGTGGACGATTTTATATCCTTGGAGTTGATGAAAGGGATGAGCATTCCCCGGAACCCGAGTCAGGGCTGCAGCAGCCAGCTTGCTGGGGGAGGAAATAAGAGGGGTGTTGGAGGGGAAATACCTGAGAACAGATCTGGCCGTGCTCCATGTGAGTTATTGCTTCCTGATGTATGATTAATGTGTTTTCAATGGCTGACATGTACAATTCCATCATCCCAAAGCTGTGGAATTGTTTGTCCCTGGGCAAGTTTTAGCACCCCAGGAGGTTGATCGCTGGAACAACGAGCTGGCTCGCGGAATCCGATGGTCACACCAATCCGCCCAATCAGCACTGTTGAACATTCAGTACCTCCTCCTGCATTTGCCACCACTTCTATCTGCCCATGCGGCAATCCCAGAAGAAGATAGTCAGCAGTTTTGGAAGGATGTGGACGTCACCTCCAGGCTTTGTGAATCTGGTATGTCCTTTGGATACAGCTGGGTCTTTGTGGACAAGCCTGCCTACTGATGTTGAATCCATTTCATCAGAGGATATTCTCAATACTGCAGGGAATTTGTCTCTCATTACGTCTGACATGGTGGATATGGAACAAGTCCGATCGTTCCAGCTGTCGGACAAGGTAACCAAAGACCACACGCTTCTGCCACATTTGGCAACCTTCTTTGCTCCTGGGAGATCTGCATATTCTCGACTGCGGGCAGCCTTACATCAAACTTGGGCACTTAAGAGGTTGGCGAATTTGAAAGACAGCTGGATCCCTCAAGCATTCGATGACGATACAAATGTATATACTGCGTACTACCACTTCTGTGGGGCGTATGAGAACATCGGCGGGAGGATGACCGACAACACCGGGGCCGAACCTGGTGTCTTCTCGTTGATACAGTATTTCATAGGAGCTCTCGCCGGATTGGCTTTCTTGTCAGGCGGCTGCGTTCCAAAACCCAAGCAATCCAAAATCGATTCCTACCGCTCAAAGCACCACCTTCAACACGTCCAGATGCTTGCCAATCTGGTGATTTTTGGTCCAACATCAGCCTTCACCGCTTATCGAACCGGCCCACACGTGACCCTAGGCAATTCGCTTTCTTTGTTAGAGGTTGGGGCCAGTCTGCTCAAACAAAAGGTCGAACATGGGATCACGGCCCCCATGCCGCATGCAACATTGGACAATCTTCGGCTGTATTTCTTGAATTTTCTCATCAAGATGGGCTTCACCCAGCTTGATGACAAAGGTCTCCCACAGGTAAATTGGAGGGTTGTACACCAAGCTTTCTACCAAGAGTTTGCAACTCATGTGATATCACACATGTTTGCTGAAGATATTGAAATTGCTTTGGCGCAGAAGAGATTTGGTGTGGTTTGATTCTTGATTCTCTTTGGTGTTTGATGTGATGTGTTTCTTCCCCATATGGTATCTTACGTTTGTTGTCCTCTTCTGCCAGTCTCTATATTTCAACTCGCAATAACTTGATGTTTAAGATGATTGTGCACAATTTAGCAAATTATCCTTGGGACCAGCATTCCCTAGTTTCCTCTCTTTAACATGCGTTTCCTTTGGAATTGGTCAAGTCTGTATGCAATGTGACTCCTCTGAAGATGCCGGAGGCCTCACGTGGCTGAGGGAATATAGCGCATGAACCAAGATGAATGCAACATCATATGTCTAATTGTACTTCTGATGTAATCTTTGTTGTGGAACACCACACCACAACAGAACAGAACAATACAAGACAAAACAAGCAATAGTGAAATAAACCATCATACTGAGATGTCTTAGGACCAAGAAAATTAAACAAGACTGTCTGCTGAGTAGGTGATTTGAATAACTTACTAAAGAATGATAAGAAGATAAAATGAATATGAAAGCAAGATGAGTTGAAAAATCATAATATGAAGATAAAATAAACCGCGGCATTGATATAATAAAAAGAAACATTGTAACAATTAGAACTCGACAGTGGAATCTAATCTAAGTTTGGTAGAACGGATGCTACCCATGTGGCTAATAACACCTTCATTCTGTTTTAAACTTGTTATGCAAATCAATGTTAGATTGAATTGCTTGAACCCATTGGGCTAATAAGATGTTTGGTTGGCGCCTGGGCAACGTAGGGGGCGGTATTGGGAGGAGCCCTCGTTTGGTAACCACTAACTCCCAATGGTTACCCCCTGTGAAGGCAAGAAATATTGGACCCAGGGGTTTGGGGGGCGGTGGGTGTAAGGTGGGAAGGTTGGTGATACAGCCAGCAAGGACATCGCCGGTTACAAAGACAATGGGCCTGTTGTATGCATTGGCAATAACAGGCCCCATCTCTATCCTTGCAAGCCATTTGGAACTGGGGACGTGGGTGGAGCCTTCAGGGACCTCGAGTGATTCACAGACCAGCTCCAATTGTTTGTCGCCTCCAAACTTCCTTGACCAATGCGCTGGGTCTTGATGGAGTTCGTGTAGAAGATCCCTGCGGACGTGGAGCCACCCGTCCGGCTTTGAATATGGGCTCTCCGGTTTTTCGCCTGCGAGTACGTGGGCTATACATGAGTAACCACAGTTTCCATCACCTGGGGGATTGTATTTTGAATGAACAAATGGTTCAAGCCAGACAGGCAGCTCATCAGGGTCCCTCAGCTGGACCTATAATTGGAGATGACAAGGGTTAGCACCAAGTCCCTGTGTCATAAGCTATTACAGGGGATGAGTCATACCGCCTTAGTACCGGTTTTTGCCCGGTTTGTGGAGATTATTTGAACTTCGTCTTCCTGTGGATATCATGAGCTTATATCAGCTTGGGGGAAACTGACAGAATGGTTGGGTTGCGCTCACATCTTCACCAGGTGGCTTGCAGGCAATATCTTTCTCCTCTCTTGTGACCTCTGCGCATGATTGTAAGTTGGAGGGGGCGCCCTGGGGTCCCGATTGGTCAACTGTCTCCTTTGGCTTGTAAATGCGTTTAGGCCGAATGCGCTTCCGCTTGGGTGTAGTAGCAGGGACAAGCTGTCCAATAGGCATTGAGCTAATGTTGCCTTAAGGCCAGTGCGCCAGTATAAGTTAGAACTTGACTCACAGGTTGCATCTCATTGGTTTCTAGCACCTGAGGCAAACCGGCCCCTTCTTCCGCGCATGTGAGGTCCCGAGGCCCCTCGAGGTGAACAATTGGGTCCAGTACATTGCCAATGTCCATATTGGTGGTCATCTGGGATGGATTTGAAGGCTCTTGTGCACTTG